ATGAAAAGATCTGAATTTTATATGATCATATAAAATTACATATGTTATTAGATCTTTTCATAACTAATTATATATATTTACATGTGACCATATTACACCATTTTTTCTCGGGTCTGTATACTTCAGCATGCTATTTTAGCTTTAGTTCTTTAGTTATCATTAAATGTGTACAGATAGAATATTATATAGAATATAATCTATGTATCGTAATTAAATTAAAAATAAATGCAAAACTATGACAAATCTAATTTTGCTGATAAATTTCCATACTCATCTAAATGTTTTTAGATGCTGTTAAGTCAAATATTTAAATTCAGGAGTTAAATTTTTGGTATTAGAAAATTACGATTCAAAAAAGTGATGTGATTAAATTTTGAAATGGCGCAAATTTTTTCCGTACGCTGCTTACCAAGTGATTACGAGATTTACGTACCTATTGAGGGGCCTAAGGGGCTTGGAAGTAATTGAAAATGACATTATCGACTGTTTCAACATAACAGAAAGGCGTTGCTCTTCGCTTCTGTACGCGTTGGTTAGCTCCGTGAATCGTCATGTCTGTTGTCGTTGCATATGGTCGTGTGAGAGGTTAATCCACGGAAAAGACTTGTGATAAACGATAGACGAAACGATGCTTTTGCTAGATTTAAGCAATCGCAAAGGCTAGCGACAATTTATTAGTTAATGTGAAACTATGTGAGCAAAATAAAAAACGGGACATAGAACACTAGTAGAAAATGATCAATTAGCTAAATAATCACAATTTCTGAGCATTGCTAATGATGCACTTGTCGTTACCGAGAAGAGATTAAATCCTGACGTGTATAGGTAAATATGGCGCAAATACAAACGTCAACGGTGGACGGACTGCCGAAGCACTTCGTCAGCGCGATGCGCACATTATTTGACATCATGGACGATCAGAACACCGGTTTCGTCAAGTTCGTTGACATCGAGGGTCGATGGCAGGACGATGGCACCCAGGGCTTGCCCAAGGGTGTGCTTGATAGCTTGAAGAAGGTCACGCCGCCGAACGGCATGCTATCATTTGAGAGATTCTGCGCGGGTCTGAAGATCTGTTTGCTGCAGATACAAGCAGAGACTAATTCTAAAAAGCATGACAGTCAGCCTAACAGACCACCGTCCGCGCCGATACTCATACCTGATAATCAGAACAAAGCGGCCTGGACCTCTCCCAACACTGCTGCCATACGACCCAACAATGCCATATCTCAGCAACGTACTCTTAGTATGCCTCAGTTACTGGCCAATCGCAAAGACATGAATGCGCAATTAGAATTGATGGACGGAAGGAACATTGGGGAACCAAAGGTCAATAAAGTATACGGTCCACCAAAACCACCAAGAACTGGTGCCGCTCTGGAAAATAGAATGATAAGTCAAGAGCGTAATTTTGACAAGTCTGAAATCAGGACTGCTTTACAAAACTGGCAAATGGGTCTCATGATGAACGATGAGAAAGAGAAACGTCAGCTGCAAGCTGTAAATTATAGATCGGATACTAGGACACTGCTTAGACCAGCCAGAGCTTTAGGCGATGGTAAAGCAGTTGATATACAAAGTAATCAATTAGGTCTTCAACCCAAGAAACCATCAAATCGTCGCAGAGAGCCAAGGCGACATACGTTGCAGAATGGTATTGATTACAATATGGTAAAGATGTTCTTCTCTAGGACTCTCAACTAACATTTGGTAATTGGTTCTGGGTATGCATGAATCTAAATATTAACACTAATATGTATTTCTTAGAAATGGAAATATGTATTTGATAATTATTTATTATCTTATATATTATATTTTATTATATATATCTGTATTATATAATTTTTATTATCTTTAAGTTAACTTACATCATGAGAAACTTGTACTGATATTTTAAAATAAAATATTTTTATTATATATTTCAGATGAAAAGAATGAAGCAGATTGAACAAGAAAAGGATGTATTACTTCAAGGTCTAGCTGCTGTTGATAAAGCTAGGGAATGGTACTTGAAGCAAATTTCCGCTACACAAGAAAAGATCAAACATCTTGGACGAATGGGTTCTCATGTGGTAAAGAAATACCTTTTATTTCCTTGTTTTAGAGCTGTGTTTGCAATATGTATATGTACGGTTTTATTTTTTGTAGGAGCAATGGACAGAAGCACAACAAGAACGCTTAGAACTGCAACGTGCGCGAGTCTTGGAAGTGAATCGACATCTAGCTGCCTTGATAAGTAGCTGGGAACGCGGTGGACTTCCACTTCATATGAATCTCGCTTTCTTGAGCACGCCGACTTCGGCTCAACTTCAACAGGATCTGTTGTCAAGGCTTAAACAGCAAAACCATAGATTAACTGAGGTAATATGTAACACAATGGTACTCTATAGAAAATATCAACACAAATAACAATTTAATTTTATAACTATTATTTTTTTATGCAAATAGGAAGTTAGCAAAAAGAGTCAACGAATAGCACTACTTGAGCAAGAAAAGGACAGCCTGGTTAGAGAATTGTACAGTAGACAATCTGGATTGGTTCAGTCTCGAAGAGCAACGATGATCCACGAACAACATGATCAAACATTCATGTAAAGTACTAACAATATTTAAATTAATTTGAATTGAGCTGGTTAGAATTAATAACTTGTGATTTTATTTAAAATATTCTTTTTAGAATATAAATATCCCAGACTTTGGAAAAACGCGCCATACAAATGATAGCATCTGAGTTAAGCCGTAAATGGGATAAAAGTAAAAAAAAATTAAGAAGCTAATACGATCCACTTAGATGTTTTTAAATGCTCCAGAAACTTTTGTTTTCTAAGCTTCCACAAAGTAGTTCATTAGCACTGTCAATTTTGTCAATGCTATGCGAATGTTTTCATGATATAATTTTGAAATAAGTGGATAAAATTGCGCTCTGAATCTTTATAACGCCATGTGAAACATATTAGAAATATGAAGTATTTAATATATCGCATTAAAATAACGCCAATGCTTTATTTTATATTTCATATTAAAGCGGTAAAATATTTACTAATTAATATGTAATTATATTATCTAGATATAACTGTAATAGGTGAATAAAATAAACTTTAAAATCTCTGTAATCCGTCCAAAAAAACAAAATTTATCTTAATAAATTATTACTTTAATTAATAAATCTTACGTAAATCTATTCATTTTCTAGCATTGTAATTTTAAGTCTCATTTTTAATTGTATTATACAATCACTATCAGTCGCATAATACACGATGCACTTTTGACATAATCTTTCGAACTTATGAAAATTTTATGAAATTTTATTGCTTTGTCAAGAACAGGAAATTTTACGATTTCGTCTCTATGACATACATTTCACCGATTTCCGGCTGGGTTGAGCTGGCAGTGTCAAATGTTATCGAATTCTAAAAGACGATAGCACATTATGCCATTGAATCTGTCGGTTAAAATATTCTTCAATAGACATACTAATCATTCATTAGATAGAAAAATATGTCACATACTCAAAAATAGAAGTGATTGCATAAATGGTACACAATACTTCCTTTGAATGTTCCATAAGTAAAAATTTAATGACTGTACTAGAGAAAATAAAATATAAGAACCTGTTAAAATATACTGAAATATAGTTGCTGTAAACTTTTCCGTTTACTATAATCTTTTATTTATGATGTATAAAAAAATATATATATATTTTATTAGAAATACATTCAATGATTATTGCTATACGTCTCTCTTTTATTGTAGATAATAAAAACCATATAAAGCAATATTGCGTATAAAAGTTAATATTTTTATTAACATTAGACTCCATAAATCTATCGGCGTGTGTTTCTCATTTTTTCATTTAATTTGATTTGTATCTATCGGGCCTGATTTACATTGTTTTATTAAATAAAAGGTATTTTATTTGTTTAAATTGATATATACGTTCTATCATTATACGTTGCCACTTTGTAGGAATACTTTTATTTTATCTGTGTCGGTGATGATAATAGCGAGCAGAAGTAACGCAGCTAAAAAATTATCAATTCAACGAGATTGTGCAGTTGAACGAAAAGATCTAACCATTTCCATTGCAATATTTGTGATTAATTTTCCTAAACAATTGCACAACTTTGTGTCTGTAAACTCTCTTTCAGATACCACTATAAATCGGCGGTCGTCGAGTTGCACCCCACGCATGATTTCTCAATGTGTCGAATGGCTTGTTCGTGATTACATCTAGTAAGCGGTCCACGACAGTTCGCTGCCACGAGTCGACGGATTCGGTTGACTCGGCTGCTGCATCGTCCTCGAACAACGGCGAACGCTTCCCCCGTTGCAATACGACCTGATAGCCCGTTGCAACACCGAGGAGGGAACGCGCGTGCAAAGACCGCATTGACCTAAGTCCCCTTGTGTAAAACTGATCAACCTTTGACACTTAACCAGCGACGAAAGTCTATCACGCACCGGTCGACGATCTCCCCTTCAAACTTCTCTCCTGGATTTTATCGGCTGTTCACGATATCCTTCGCAGGATTTTTTAACGTCTTTCCTCTCTCGCCTCATCTGAGAACATCATGCTACCAAGATTGATGGTCGCTCTACTGTTCTTAACAATAGGTATGGTGTATTGTAATATCGACATTGATAATATACAGCATATCTTCACCGAACTGATAAGTACAACCGAAAAGAATCAGTAAAATATTTAAAAATCATAGAATCAGAATCTTTTCCGTTATAGAAATTGATTGAGTGAAAACAATGCACATGTGGCTGACGAATATTTAAAATTATTTGTCTGAAAAATAAAATTTTATATAAAAATTTGTATTTATTTTCGATTTGTATTTACATGTAGAATCAGTATCTTTTCGGTTGTATCATTAATTCGAAGACACTTTCTATATATTGTCCAAGTTGCTAATTATAGACTTTGCAGGTATGTAAAAAATTTCGTTAAGTATAATGTTATAGAGATTTTGATAAGTAATTAATTAAATGTATATAACTGCTAAAAATTACGAATAATAATAATTAGTGCACACATATATTCATGATCTCGGACGATTGAGTATAATTTACAAATTATTCAAAATCACATATAAAAAATATTGTTGTAGTCTTTTGGCCTCGAAAGACAACGGAAACTGATATGCTCATCTTATCAGATGCGAAATATATCAACCGTTATGCTTTTCGAGGCATTGCCTTAGTATGTTTTCAAACTCAAACTATTTATCTATACAAATTATAGCTTACATGAACTTATGATTTTCCTTTTCAATTATTTTCTTTTATACGATTCGTTTCCAATTTTATTCCATCCACATTTGAGATCGATTCTAAATGTATGTTTAATTTTATAATATTTTAAAACAAGTTGTCTCTAACATGCCATATAAATAGTAGAAGACTTCAATACTGTTTCTTAGAATTATTATGATTTCCTCAGCAAAATTAATCTCCCATAGAATGAATAGCAGCAGCACACATATAAGACGCATTCTCAGTTTATTTTCTGAATAATCAAATGATAAACCCGTTGTAACGATAATAAGTGGCGTTCTCAATGATGAACGTCCCACACACACCTCCCTTTCTGATTACGCTACAACAACCCGTATCTTTTGCAATTAATAATTACCCTTGAATGAATCGGACGAAGAAATGTGCGCAGTGTTCGTTGAAAAAAATAATAAGTATTGTTCATACATTGTTCATGCATTCATGTAATTAAATTAACAATGAGAGTAAATGAATCTAAAAATCAATTAACCCACGCACGGTGTCCTCTATCTTGTGAAACACTTATCAATTTAGACAAGTGGGAAGTGCAGTCAACCGCATCCGGCGCAAACATTTGCCTCTGCTAATGCGACGCTATCTTCTCGGGGTAAATAAACCGCAGATATTCCCACTGTATCCATTATACATTCACCGAAAAAGAATGCGAACAATTTATAAATATAGAATATATAAGACTAGCGTCTATTAATTCTCCTGATAACGTATATCGGAATAGTTATTAATAAACACAGTAGCGTATCATTGAAGGCTTTATTATTGCTCGTATGTATCTCGAAACCACCAGAGTGCCTCTTCGTCTCTTTTTTTTAGAAGAGTCTGAAGTGGAAAGACATTTTCACAATTCAGAAGAAGATTCTCAGATATTCTGCAATAATAAAATAATAACGATTCTTCGTTCAAACAGCTCGAGCGTTGGCGCTTGGTCAACGCAGTCCGATTAATGCTAAGTTTTTTTTTCTGTCAGCAGTTATATTGTCGGAGGGATGCGAGTTGGATCAAATGCGATACGGGTGTCGTATTTATAATGCGGAATGCAACTGCGGCTACGGCTGCAAATCCGAGTACAGATACGACAACAATAACGATTGCAAGTTAGCGCTGGAAGGTATTAACAAGCGATACTCACTCTTTCACTCAATTTGTTAAATCTATAGAATAAAAAGAAAATTGTTGTCTTTCTCTGCACAGTTTATACCTTACACACTTATTTCTTGAGGACTGTTGTCATGTTTGTTGAAAATTGTATTCATCCCAGTATCATTATCTCAACGCTGCTTCTCTCGTTGCAGGAGGCCGTAACGATATTTGCTCTCACTCGAAGCCTTGCATGAACAACGGTTCATGTTCCCAAATATCGTCAGATCCTGGATTTAAATGTCGCTGCGAAGGAACTGGATTCTACGGCACTTACTGTGAAACACGTTAGTAATCCTAATGACAAAAAAATAGTTCAACTTTCTTACTACCGTCGTATACCTTTTTTTTGTGAATTTGATCTTCACTATTTCCATTCAGGGGCATGTTTTAACCGCCCGAGTGATTAAATGAGATTAGTAAGCCAAGGATATTTCGGTGGAAAAAATGATTTATAATTTTATATTGAATACTCTTCGCATGTTTCAAGTTTCTTTTTTTTTAACATGATATTACGATAACATAGAAGAAAAATAGAAAATTAACATGAACAATTGTATATGTTACAGCTTGTCCGCAACCAGACAATTTGCTTTTCCGGGGACAATATCCTTACGAGTGCGTCGTAATCTAACTCGGAGCTCTCTTCTTACTTTCTGACCCAAATTTGTCTTAATATGATACATACGTACAAAAAGAGGAAACGTATTCCATAAAATATATTTACACATCCTTGTACATACATAATAAATATTAAAACAGACGATACGTTTTCATTTCCCGTTTTGCATACCATACAAAATGTAACACGATGTCTCTCGATATTTGAAATCACTTGTAACCGCGATCTTGGAGTATTAAAAACAAATCGATATAAGCTGAATATTAAAATTACGCCGCAAGATAATTTTGCGGTATTAAAAAGCATTTCGAGATTTTATAGAGAGCAAATATATTTCGATGCTTTCACTGTTTATTCATTAATAATTTTACAATATGTATGCACATGATGTGTTGGATCCATGAGTTTCGGAACAAGCGCTTAGTTTGTATCGTGCTTGTGTTATGTACTTCATCTTATTTTACGTTAATTTCTTTCACATATCTCTACAATAATGCCACATGTACCTCGCTTACTGTCTCAAATGGCAAAACTTATAAAACGTTACTTCTTACTCTTTACATAGGTATCTTTTATAATTTCCATGTCCACAGAATTCGTAATACTAATTTGATTTTACAACACGAGACTGCATCAGAGGAACTTAACGACATGTATATATATATTTATATATATTATCTAAGACAAACAGTGTTGGCCAGTCATAACTTCTTTTTTTTTATATATATATAAATTCATCGACATTACCTTCAACAGAGTAACTTAGTATCATAATTTATTATAACAAAGCGCTCTTGACGTCGTAAAATTTTGATAAAGAATTTGTAGCGCTGGATATTCAATTTTATAATTAAATTAATTTCACGCATTCTGTATTTGCATGCATTTTCGATCGTTTACTTTTTTCTTGCCTATTGTACAATATACTTATACCACATACTGGTATAATAGATGAAGCAAGAAATTTGAAGAAAATAATATAAATAAAGATCATTTGTTACAAAACCTTCAAGTATATTATTCATGAAGATAATCATCTTAAAGCGTACAAATAGGCATGTTATCAGCAGTCCAATTTTTAACTATTCTGGGACTTTCTTTCGTACTCTGTTTTCAATTAATTGAGAATCAATTTTTATATTAATTCTCATACGAAAATGGGAACATACTGATAAAAAATTTCGACCAACCTAACCAATCCTATAAACTATCGATTATGTTCAGAAAAGTAACATCAAATAGCCTAGTAGTAAATTTATAGACAGAAAATTAACTAAAGAGTGAAACCAATTGCGTATTGCAGTAAGTTCTAATATATTCTGAAAAGAAGAGTTACCTTCTCTCTTCTTCATTTTCTCCCTTGGAGGTGATGAAATGAGTCGTTGTTCATTTTTTACTTTTATATTCTTCCGGTCTTCGATCACCATCCAGTTTCAGATTATAATTATTGTTGTCACATTAGTCTGAATTTGGCAAACTTTTACGATGCTTACAATAGTAATCGGTATCGAAGTGTATGGATTAAAAACAAATAATTATAGATTACAATTTGGATAATCAATAACCCCATTCATGGCGTATTACTCTTCTATGGCACCAGGAGCACGCTGGCATCTTTCCTGGTTGAATCCGCGCGTACCATCGGGCCCTTTTGGTTGCCTAACCACAGTTAATTTTGGGCCTGATTCTTCCAATGATATGGTACGCAAACGGCTTATTAAGCGTTCCGGTCGTTGCTGGACCGCATCGCTGTAAACGATAAAAATTTACACATGTCAAACTACACCGTGATATTTGCAATTGTTTTCCTTCAAGCTTGACTTACCTTAATCGAGTTACGTTGCACGCGGATGACTTGCCGGTGCGTTGATTTGTGACCAAGACGAATTCCACCTGATCTCCCGGCTGCAACGTAGCGTGATCACGAACTTCGCTTATGTGGAAGAACAACTTTTTACCCTCGTCTACTTCATAGGCGAGAAAGCCGAAGGGACCTTTTACCGCATCCACAGTTGCTCTTCTTTTTTTCCTAACAGCTACGATGTTACAAGCATGACCTGCCGAATCAACCTGTAACTGCACAGGATCGCCGGCTTGTAACAACTCCCGTTTGTTAGAAAGCCCCATAATTCCAAATTCATATTCCGGCGTCTCCTCGTCTTCGTTAGTTGGATTAATCTTGATCAAACCAGCATACTCAGTCTGCTCGGGGTTCGCGCTTCGTAATGGTCGCACGACAGTACCATCGAGCACTTCGCTGACCGCTGTTGGCCTGGGAATACTGCCGCGAGGTACTAATTTAACATGATCGGCAGCTATGCAACCTCCGGAGCCTCTCCCGTTACCCGAACTACTAATTGTACATTCGATATCGGCCCCTAATTCCAATGTACTAGCGTCTCCTTCAAAATTACTGCAAATAAAATTAATTGGTCATAAATTTTCCAGATGTATTGTTTCCTGCAAAAACTGATGTATCACTCTCACCTGTAGTGAAAAAATATTTCTTTATCATGATTTACTGTCTCGATAAAGCCAAATCCGTCTTTAAGGGCAGCAATAAAACCTTGACAAACTTGTCCGTTTGATTTTTTGTTAACATTTTGGATTTTTTCACCAGCAGCGTTTACTAAATATACTTCTTCAGCAACAAATTCTTTATTTCGCTTCACTTGAACAATATTGAACATTACCTATAAACCAAAGTAAAATATTTATAACAAAATATATTCCTTTCAAAAATGGAAAACGGATAATCTCTCTGTCTTCACATATATATATATATATATAACTATTTACCTTATCATCCACTTTTGGTAAATTGTTTAGGGCAATCTTTAGAGAAAAAAATAATGTTCTTTTGTTGGCCATATTCAATAATGCCAGCATCGTTCGAAAAAGTATCTTGTATTACAGTGCCTAATATATCTTTCTCTATAACAGTTTGAAATTTCACCGTACCAATTGGCAAATGTTTCAGTCTAATAGCACTTTGTCGAGTATTAGAGAACGATGATGAA